AGTTATTTTGTATGTTAATAATATTAACTTAAATTTTTTATAGTATTTCACAATTATTATTATTATTTATTAATAATAATAATAATAATCATAATAAATTATTATTATTGTTGTTGTTGAGTCTTCCCCACAGCTCATGGATGTTTCTGTGTGGTGGATAGTGGTGGACTCCTGCAATATACTTTTCGAATCATCTCATTATGTTACCGTAATTCAGAGAGCAGACTTTTTATTTTCAAGCACACTCCAACTAAATTAGTGTAATTATCCTGATAGACAGCTTCAACACCTCTGCAACAACTTGCAGTAAATTGCCTCACTTAATTCCATGCCGTTATTGGTCATATGAAGAACAAGAGCATTAGAACTGACGCTTCGAGGTACTACATCAACACCCCTTGTTAACACAACAGGGATTCAATCTCTTCTTGTTTTATTGCATCATCGTTTTTTGGCCTTTTGGCCATTTGTATAGATCGAAATTTAGTGTTTCAGATTGCTGATGAGTTTCCATGAGCGTTAGGATTCTTCACTGCATAGGCTGCTTACTCTGAGCTAATGAGAGAAAAACACAGTCTGATATAAGAAATGCTATGATATTACAAAGTTCATAACTAAGACATCAATAGGTCTCTTTCATATAGTTTTCTTTCAGAGTGAGAGAATAGTCAGTGCTGGAAAAAGAATTGCATTTGGAGTTGAAGGGATCCCATGAGAGTGTCTGGATGGGTGTGAATAGCTGAATGACAGAGATACATGCTCAGTGCCGTCATCTCGCTCCTCAGAAGAGACAATCCCTGCTGATAATGTCTCATTGAGGCTTTACGCTTGGCTTTGTGTAAGTGACATTGTCTGACAGGCCTCAGTGATAACATCAGATAAGCGTTGGTTCTGCATCTGCACTGAATCCCCGGAAGCTTCTAAAGGGCACAGGGATTGAGTGTTTGTTATAAGAGGTCAAGGTTGGGTTGTTAGCATGGTCCAGTTAACTATTGCTAGCAGATGGCATAACCACACCATCTGAGGGTGAAAGGCTTCTTGAATGTCCATTCAAAGGTTGCTGTGTGTTCTGATGAAAGAAATATAATTTCATTATATTGTAGTATAATATGATTTCATTATATTATAGATTTTTCTGTTTAATTTAAGAATGGTAAATTGAAAATTAAATAACGCAAATGTGTACATTTGTGTAGTAATTTGATTACAACTGCTTTTATATAGGAAACTATAGTACTTTTAATATTTATTTATATTTATATTTATAAATATTTATATATTGGATATATATTTCTGATTTAAAGCAGGAATTTTAAGCAAGAATGGTAATTTTGAAAACCTGTAAATGTAATTGTATGTAGTAATTTGATTGCAACTGCATTCTTATAAAATATTAATTTATTTTTAATTTTACATTTTATTAATATTTATTTTCTAATTTATATTTGTATTAAATTGGAAGAATTTATTTATTCAATATATATTTCCAGTTTAATTTCAGCAAGAATCGTTAAAAATTCAGTAAATTGTAAATTAAACAACGTAATTGTGTACATTTATGTAGTAACTTTTGTTATTAGAGCTGCATTCTCAAATGAACTATTTAATTTATTTGTAATATTTATTGTTTAAAATTTATTTTTTATTAAAATCAGACATATATATTTTTTGATGTATATGTTTTCTTTTTAAATGATTTTAAAGTTATTTAGTTATCTTTTTTTAACCTGATTAAATAAAGGTTTACTACCAGTAGTGATGAGCATGCATTTTGACCAGCTTTTTGTTTTGTTGAGTTAAAAAGTAAGCAGATATGTAATGAAATCACTACATTTACAGGATGCACATTTCATATGCTTGAACAGCATCTATGAAAACACTTTAGAACGACTTGCAAAGATTTCAAGAGTCTGGAATAAATGTGTTTGAGTGGATGGAATCAGGGAGAAGGACACTCTCCGCAATGTAATACATATTTTCTCAAACAGTTCAATAATTTATTGACTCTGCCAAGACAGGATAACACCCCCACCACCAAAGCTCATTCAAGGCTTCTGAGAAGACCCTTGACACAGAGCTTGTCGGGAAATTGGACAAGTTCAAGTCTGTCTCTCTCAGTGATTCTGAATTATTGAACCAGCCCAAATTTGCCTCCTCTTCTTCTTCTCCTTCTTCTTTATTCAGCTTTCACCCAGCTTCAGGTTGCAGTGCTGTCACAACAGACATTGCAGTTCAATGAGGAGAGTCTCTTAGATGAGCGTGTTTCAGTTAAGGACGCTTTTGGTTGCAGAACAGTAAAGATGTGAGGAACTATTGGACACGTCAACATCCATGTTGATTCACATCTCATTTTGCATCAGAAAGAATGTCCAGTGCCATGATCAATTTGTGTGCTGTGCTTCTATTCATTGTTCACCACTGCCTGCGCGAGAATGAGTGTGACTGAGCAAGTAAACCCTTGATTAACGTAGTGACTGGCTCAGCTTCGCTTCTCTAAAATTTTTGTCAGAGGAAATTCTCCCATAATAAATGACTGCAGGATCTGAGCACTGCCCCACAGAGAAGCACTGACAGCCCAGCCGTGCTGAGATTTGACAACAGGCCTCTTGTGTTTCCACTCTGCAGTTTGGCATGCAACAGATGTCCCTGGAGGAGCTCAAACACGTCCTGTTCCACGCCTTCAGAGACCATCTCACCATGAAGGACATCGAGAATATTATCGTCACCGAGGAAGAGAGCTTGAAGGAGAACTCAGGAAACTGCCAGACCGAATTTCAGGGAGGTAAATAGCAATGAGAACGATTTCATGTTAATTGACGGATCCTGCAACAGTTTGTTGAACTCGCGCTGATTCAAGTTTACAGACACTGGATACTTTGCGAAGCTCCGATGAGGTGAAGCTTAAAGTTCTGACAGTAACTGGAGAATTGAGTTCTGTATGAATACCAATGAAAAGATTTTCACATGATCAGCAGAGCGTAGGAGTGAACGGCCAATTTTTCAGAAGCCAAGAGGTATAACTCTAACTTTTTTATTCAAATTAAGGTACAAGACTGTGTATTTAAAGAGACAATGAAGTTAGAAATGATGTAATTGAATCATAAATTATGATATATAACATTATTGACTCATTGTCATTTATGATAATAATTAAGTACAATATCACATATATTTAATTTAATTTAAATTTAAATATATAAAAATAGATATATTTTAATTTTATTGCAAAGTATTAAGAGTGTAGTCAATAACGTCAATGCTGAAATCTTTTGCATCTAAATCTATTGAAATGTACAGAAGCATGTATCATGGTGCAATATAAACTTTTCAACTTATAGTGGTTTATTAAAAATGCAATATGATAAGCGAATTAAATTAAAACAATAATTATATTTAAAAATTGAATTACAGTTATTTAAATTTTGATTGATTATAATTATAGATGAATAAGTAGTAAGAATGTTGTCAGTATGTCATTCACAATGCTTTATGGAAGTGACAGCGACTTCTCTGATTGGTCGATCTAATGGATACTTTTTTTTTTTTTAAATAAGCTGAAATCGCATTGACTTTCGGCTTCTACAGAAGCATGTATTATGTTTATAACTGACTTGTAGACAATTATTGTAATTATACAAATTAAATTAAATATATTTAAATGTATTTACAAAATATTTAATTACAAATAAATAAATAAAGAGTGTAGTCAATAATGTTTGCAATGCAATGCCTTAGTAACAGCAACTTCTCTGATTGGTGCCTCCAATGAAAAGCTTGCTTTTTTAAATGAAGCTAAATATCACATTGACTTTTGGCTTCTGCGAAAGCATTTATCATCGCTTAACAATCACAGTGCTCATAGTAGGTCTTGAAAGGTTTATATGTTATCATTAAAAATCCATTTCTTTATGGATTTTTACATCTGGAGCCCGACTATTAGGCTCTATAGTCTGATGTGCTTGCCCAGAAACTGGGCATTTAATGAGATGAGAGTTCTGTGCTCTCAATGCAATATAGGATTTTTGGAATGAAAAGCATCTGATAAATGAAAGCAACTAGTGTAATATTTTCTTTACTCCCTGCACTGGTTACTTATGAATTTCACCCGCTTTATTGAACCAGATGTTTTCATCAGCCAACAAAAGTAAAGGGAATGAATGGAATTCAGAAACATGGGAATTATCGTAAAAGCTTGTATGCAATTATGTTTCAGCAGTTCGATATTTAATTTCAATATGCAGCACAGAATAACAACACAAATTGAATGGAATTGAATCTGCTGGCCCTGAGAAAAAGGTGAATAAAATTTAACAATTTCATGCCTCGAAATCCAATTAGTCTGTCACAATGTTTTAAAATATATGCTTTATTGGCCCACAATGTGCCCTTAAACAGTTTCACATGAATATTTATTTCTGTCTGCGTGTGTGTGAGTGTGTGATCATGAGTGTGTCAAGTCCAGTGAGGCAGCTCAGCAGAGCCAAACGTTTTGTTTCATTATTGTTCATATTCAAAGCCTCATTATGCACAGAGATCAGCAGCAATGCTGGATCATTGTTTTGATGGCTTATGCTCATTGTGTGCTGTCATCTCTTCTCATTGAAGCTCTTTCACAAATGCTCTGTTCTACTCCATCAGTGCATTCGAAAAAGAAGAATCGCCAGACGTGTGTCCGCAAGAGCCTCATCTGCGCTTTTGCAATGGCCTTCATCATCAGCGTCATGCTCATCGCAGCCAATCAGATGTTGCGGAATGGCATGGAGTAGCCCCGCCCACTGTGAACCCTGCTTGATCTGACCTCTCTTAAGAAACATGCTTCAAAAACTCCACTTTCTTTTAGAGCGTGGGGAGCCCACCGAGCAGAGGATGTGAATCCCGAGAGAGAGTTTTGTGTTTGTGATTGTGATTGTGACAGACTCTTAAACGGCAGTGAGGGATGTCCTCCATCATCAGCTTGACAGGAACATGCAAGGGCTCCTCACTGAATACCATTTAATGCATTAACATCCAGTGTCCCTCCGCGCTGCGTGTTTTTCTCATTCCTGTCTTTGGAAAGCGAAGACTTTGTACTTGATCTCACTCCAAGTCATGTCAGATGGGAACGATGAGGAGTGATTGGCAGCCGCTGCAGGATGTCTGGCATCAAGAGCGTGTGCATGTTCATCTCAGATGCACTGTATGTTTTGTTCGCAGCATTGCGGTGTTGAAGCTTATTTATGGAATTTATTGAAGATATTGCTTAATGTTGAAGGGACTGTGGGTATTTTTGGAATAGCATACTACCATAATATTACTTTTACAGTATGCAAAGAAAATCACAAATCACCACAATATGCAGGATATAATCTGCATCACACAGTGCTTCTTAAAGGGGTCCTATTATGCTTTTTCACTTTTTCAACTTTAGTTAGTCTGTAATGTTGCTGTTTAAGCATAAAAAAAGATCTGCAAAGTTACAAAGCTCAAAGTCCACTTCAAAAGGAGATATTTTATTTAACAGAAATCACTTTTCAAAAACTACAACGAACAACTCGTTTGGACTACAATGCATATTTTCCGACGAATGGGACGAGACCTTGGTTGAGCTGCACTAGAGAAGGCAACGAGTGTTATCGCTATGTCGGAGACACGCTAGCTTTCCCAAGACAGACGAACTTAATGTGGTTACAATCATCCGGGTTTAAATCTCGCTCAAATTGAATATTTACACTGAAGCTCGCAGGCGGCTATAGTAAGAGGCAATAAATTTCCCGACCAGGCGCCGAGTGGAGCCAATCACAACACACACTGGCCCAGCTAACCAATCGCAGCACATTTCGTATTTCAGAAGGCGGGCCTTCATTTGATACAGGAACTATTCGAGCCGTTCATGCCAGACTGGGGAGAGAGGTGTTGTAATAATGTAAAATATGTGAAAAATAATGTGTTTTTCGAACAACCTAGTATGAGAGCCTGTTCTAGTACACCCCCAAAACAAAATCAAGACTTTGTAAAAGAGCATAATAGGACCCCTTTAATGTTTTGAGTATGATTTTTTTCTCCTTTGATTGGACTGTCAATTAGTATTTTATTGGGTTGAAAAAAGGAAAATAACTGTTTTTTTTTTTTCCAAGGAAAGTTTATTTATATTGCACATAATGATCATTTAAAGTGCTTTACATTTTCATAATTGAGAGATAGGATGAGAGAGAAAAAGTATGATTCAGGAGAGAAAAAACATAAAATATATAAAAGTTTTGTTTAAAATGGTAATTAAATAGCAGCTGCTGAACTGAACATGCAATGTGATCAAATGAAATGACATCAACATAAAATATTACTGTCTAAAACATATATCATCACATACTGTGTACTTTTTCCACATACTGTTTAAAAAAAAAATAGTAAGAAGTACCATTAACAGTTTGGGGTCAGTAAGATTTTTTTGGAGGTAAAGAAATTAATTATTTTTCAGCAATGGTGCATTAAAGGGATAGTTCACCAAAAATGAAAATTTTGTCATTAATTACTCATGTCGTTTTAAACCTGTAATACCTTCATTAATCTTTGAAACACAAATGAAGATATTTTTGATCAAATCCGAGAGCGTTCCGACCCTGCATAGACAGCAACGCAACTGACATGTTCAAGACCCAGAAAGGTAGTAAGGACATCATTAGAATAGTCCATGTGATATCAGTGGACGTTTTGCTAATTTATTCCCTTGTTTTTGAAAATCAGATGAGGGAATAAATTAATATAACGTGGTCAATATTTCAAAAACAAGATAACAAATGAACAAGGTCACATGGCCACAATTTAACTAAAACGAGAGAGCGAGGGCCATTACCCAATCTCTTGTTTTGTGTAGGCTATCTACACGAAAGAAGAGAGTATAATACTCTCTTTGATTTTAAACAGTATCAAGGTCTTCTAAATGTCTGCATATATTGTCTGGTTAAAATATATGACACTGAACTTCTGCGGAAGTGTCTATGCTACATAGTTGGACTTTTTGGTCCATTTTGAGGTTTTATTCACTCTCAGGCTCAGAGTCAGTGAATGCAACACAAATTGCACTGAAACAACCAGAAGTAAACTGGTCGGTCTCTACAATAGCACTCTTTCTTTTACAGTTACAGTCTGTGTGTAATATAAGTATTTGTCTACCTGTTTGTCTATGTATTTATAATGTGTGTGCACATCAGTCCCTTTCCCTGTGTTCCTTATTATTGTGTATACTTACAGCCGTTTGTCACAATCCCCTGTATATTGCATGTGTATTTATGCATATAGTGCCGCACAAAAGTCGTCTTTGCATTGTCTGTTCGACTGTGTCATGTTTGCATGTTCAGAACACTAATGCAGTGTTTTTCCAAGGTCTGTACCGCTTGCAGGCATTTGCTGAGAGCATCAGTCTAAATGTCTGAACTCCCATTGTTTCCTTCCTGTGAGCAAATATTATATGAAACAGTACCAGCAGCATTCTGTGCCAAAATACAATGCAAAGGAAAAGCGGATTATTGGGAACCATTTACTGGACAAAGTTCCTGTCAGTTTTCCAGAATGTCACAGAATGGCTTGATTGAGGAGGACTGGTGCATTTTATCCTGTCAGTCTGTGCTTTGGAATGAGGAGATTTCCAAAAGAATGGCCCCATCTAGTGGCCTATTCTGAAGATGTGATGTAAAAATGGTAGGTAACGAAGGAAACTTACTTTTAGCATTGTGAAGTAACGCTAAAAAAGAAGAAATGTTATTTAAAGAAAGAAAGAAGCAAAGTAACCTTTACCAAAAAAGAAGTTGGAAACGGGAGTGGAATTCAGTGTAAATTCCATATATATCAATTTAAAGTGTTGCACCTTGTTATTTTATTTAATAATATAAGACTATTTGTTCACTGTTCCTTTCATTTATCACAAAAGCAGATTAGTGGACTAAAGTTTAGAAATCTCTTGCATCATTTAGTCATTATTCTATGTATCCCCCTGCTTGTTGCCATCTTGGTAGATTCTACATTCTACTAAAAATTACCCTCTAGTTTATGAGCATTTTGGATATATAAATTGGTAAAGGTTTTATTTGCTGCTGTATTTTATATTTTGTTGATTAATAATATATTTTTTATTTTGTTATTCATTTTTTTTATCTTGCAAAGGTTGATGGAATTTCTCATTTAGATTACTCTCAATCCAGATCCTAACTTCATCTGAAATTGAAGCATGCCAAATACAATTTTATATGTGTGTATTTTTATGGAGTATATCAAAAGGAGGATTATTAATATGCAAAACAGCATACATATTTGCATGCAGGATGTGGATTGACAGATTAAAGCAATATGGTTTCTAAACAAAAATGTATCATTACACAAAGAATATGAAGAAATAAAAGAAAGTTATTTATTGAACATGACAATAAATGCCTTTGCACCCAATTATTGATATAATGATGATAATAATTGATATAATAATCATTCTTGTTATTATTGTTGCCTGAGCCAGTAGGGGGAAGCATTGGATTTTCTACAAATAAGACTACAATTGTGTTTGCATACTATCAGGGTTTGAGTCACCAATGAACCCAGCTGTACAAATGACAAATAAATTACTTACCGGTAATTGTTTTTCTGATTAAAAAAAAAACACATCACTGTTAATGATCTGACAATGTCTTTAATGTAAAGCATCTACAAAATAACATGTTTACACAAACTGTCTGTCTGAGGTCATAAACTCTAAAGGCTGTTTAATACTTCAAAATCTGTACTAATGCTTCTCAGTTGGTACTGTGTATGTACTGTATTACCAAGTCAAATGGTTCACAGCTGTGAACCCAACCATGTAAACATTAAAAAAAAAAAAAAAAAGTTTACAGGTCATTTCAAATTTTACAGTATATGTAATCATAGCACATGTATAAATATTTAAAAGGCACTTAATGTAATTACAATTATACATTTAGAGACAAAAAAATTGATAATTTTCTTAGGAAAAAAGACTTTGCCAGAGTGTTACTAGTGTAATATTCAGGTGTGCAAGTGTGATAGTAATGGCTGTATAGAAGCTTTTGTTTTAAGTAACTCAAAGCTTCCTTTAGAAAAATAGCCTAAAACATCATTACATAGCACCACATAACTGCAAGTCTCTCAATGAGATTAATGTTAATACTGCTGCAACATAAAGAAGCATTAATGCTGTAGTGTTTCCACTCTGAGATCAGCGTCAAGCAGTTCAAGTGAATTCCAGCTTGTTCGCTAATGCAATTAATTCATATTTGTGGTTTTAAATCATATCCCAGGTTTTAATTATTTTTTTTTTTGATAACAGTTGTGGGCCAATTTATTATTTAAGGATTTGTTGTTGTTCTTTTTAATTTAATATTACTTGTAAGATGCAAACAGATGGCCATGATTTTTCTATTTTAATGGCCATTAAATATTCTCAAAGGTGAGTGCATTGTGTTTCAAGTTAAAACATAGTTAAACTCTGAATGAGCTTTTGCCTTATAATTATGAAATCTGTAAGATTGTGGAATTAATAAAAAATAAAAAAAAAAGCTTGAAAATCTAAAAGTGGCTTCTTTCTGCATTCGAAAAATCTAAATGTTTGTTTAAACAAAGAATTCTCTTTCGATTTTTTAATTGAAATTTGACATTTCTGTTTGTCTTATTATACACTACCTTTCAAAAGTTAAAGTCAGTAAGATTTCTTTAAGGTTTTGAAAGAATGCTCTTATGCTCACCAAGGCTGCATTCATTTATCTAATTGCAGTAAATGCATCAATATTGTGAAATATTATAATAATTTAAAATAACTGTTTCCTATTTTAATATATTTTTAAATAATTTAATCCTGTGATGGCAAAGCTGAATTTACAGTAACACGCATCTTTCAAAAATCATTCTAATATGCTTATATAGTGTTTCTTATTATCATCAGTGTTGAAAACAGTTGTGATGTTTAATATTTGTTGTCAAAACCTTAATAATCCTTACTGACCCCTAACTTTTGAACAGTAGTGTATGCTGTGCAATATAAAATCATATGCTTAAAAGTGTTTAAAAAATAAGCATATGGCACAATTTGATCATAAAACTCTTTTTCATAACAATAGAACTGTAAAGAGTCCAGCAGAGTGAGCTCGTTTCTCTAAAACTCAGTGTGCAATGGCCTGCTGAAATCCCTGGATCCAATCTCACTGGGTTTCATGAAGACGCCCTCCATTGTTTTCCAGTAGCTGTGTGAGCTGCTGACCATCATGCCGTGCACTTCTCTCTGGCCGTGGATGGGTCTGCCGTACTGTTCTCCCGTCACAGACAGCAGAGCCTCGGTGGCCGTGTGGCGGAACCGAACTGACTCATCCCGCTGCCAAACAGAGCCTGCACACAGAACGGTCCACTCGTCCAGATGGTCACCCTCGCCGTTCTCACCAAAGGCACTGACCTCCTAAATGGGAAGAGTTTTTGAATAAAACTCCACAGCCTATTGCAACATCAAAATTCTACATACAGTACCTATACGTTACAGTGTGTTTTTAAAAAAGGATGACATAATAAAACCTGATTTGAAGAAAGAGGAGAAGTAAAGTAGTGGCTGTGTAGATTGCGGCCCGTGTTCACATGGGTCAATCGGATGTTCTGTCCACACTGTACCGGAGTCCCTCGATGACATGAGGCATCACTGGTGCCCCTCACACTCCAGTAACTGTTACTGTCCTCCACCGTGGTCACACCGGTCACCGACTGCTGACCACTACCTGGAATTATCATTAACAGATCATAGAGAGACTCTATGCTGCTGCTGCTTCTTTCTTTACTATTAAGAAAGAAAATCAATACTTTTATTCAGCATCAGCAAGGATGCATTAAATTGATCAAAAGTAACAATAAACACATTAACAATGTTACAATTATTTCTATTTCAAATAAACACTGTAATTTCAAACTTTCTATTCAAGATTCCTGAGAAAAAAAAGACAACCGTTTTCAACATTAATAAGAAATGTTTTCTGAGCAGCACATCAGCATATTAGAATGGTTTCTGAAGGATCATGTGACACTCAAGACTGGAGTAATGATGCTGAAAATTCAACTTTGCCATCAAAGCAATGAATTACATTTTTAAATATATCAAAATAGAAAACAGTGATTTTAAATTGTAATAATACTTCACAATATTACTGTTTTTACTGTATTTTTTTAATCAAATAAATGCATTCTTCTTTCAAAAGCATTACAAATCTTATCGACCCCAAACAGTGTATTCTTTTAAACCCTCCAGAACATTTACAAAGTAATCATATACAGTAATATGTTTATTTAATGGCTTTTTAAAACTGTTGTTAATTTTGTGTGACCCTGCCTGGACTACAAAACCAGTCATACCTGTTTGTCTATGTACATTTTTTTAAAATTGAGATTTATACATCATCTGAAAGCTAAATAAACAAGTTTTCCATTTCCATTGATGTATGGTTTATTAGGATAGGACAATATTTGGCCGAGATACAACTACAGTAGTCAACATTTGAAGTGGATCAAAAAAAAGGTCATCAAAGGTGTCCTAAGACAAGAACGCATTTTGGTTTTAGGTTTTAGGACAGCTTTGATGAAAGGTTTTGATCCACTTCAAATGCTGACTAATATATTTGAAAATCTGGAATCTGAGGGTGCAAAAAAAAAAAAACTAAATATTGAGAAAATCGTCTTTAAAGTTGTCCAAATGAAGTTCTTAGCAATGCATATTTCTAATCAAAAATCAAGTTTTGATATATTTACAGTAGGAAATGTACAAAATATCTTCATGGAACATTAACTTCACTTAATATCCTAATGATTTTTGGCATAAAAGAAAAATCGATCATTTTGACCCATACAATGTATACCCATGCTTCTTATGACTGGTTTTGTGGTCCAGGGTCACATCAAACGTTTATATCACTGCCATACAGATGAGGTGAGCAGACTTTATGAATGACAGTCACTCACCAGATCCATAGCGGACATCATGAGAGTGTAACCTGACGTTGTGTTTCACATTGAGCAGCTTCACCACCGACCCGCACGTTACAAAATTCATTTCACTGCCGGAGGAGAATGTAAACATACATGACAATAACACTGTTAAAGGCAACTGCGCCCGTAAGAACCCTAAACTATCCATGGCTTGCCGAGTCCTTTTGAGAAACTAATCACTACAAACCCTACATGACGTCACATGGAACGCACGAAGCACTAAGATATAGAGCGCCGTCTTCAGGCTCGGAGATACTACATTGGTAAAAACGATATTTAAGTGGTTTATTTTTTCTTAAAAATGTATTTAAAAATAGTTGAATGTTAGTTTTTATTTATTTTGCACGAGGAAAGGTAACTATAATTCGTCCCTGAACGATATGTGTCGGTAACACTTTACAATAATGGTTTCAGCTGTTAACTACATTAGCGAACCTGAACTAACAATGACAAATTATTCGAACTTATGTATTAATCTTAGTTCATTTTAACATTTAAAAATGCATTATTTATTAAAAACCAGCAAATGTATTCATCCTGACCGGAAGTTAAATATGTGTATACCGGAACCACCGACTGTAACCCTCAGCCATTTTTTGTTGTCACTAACAAGCGTCTTCAAAAGTGACGCTTCGTTCTTCGTCTCAGCGCTCATTTTCAAGCCTTTAATCGAGCTTCCTCGCAAGGAAAAGTAAGTGCGCTTTCGTGTTCGATGTCTAATTTCAGCTAAGTGTTTTTTAAAGAGTTATGTAATGCCTGGGGTTGTTTTTCTTAGCGCTCAGGCTAGCTGTTAGCATGAGGGCCTTGATTTCTCACAGTGCCGCGGACAGAGTCGTTACGTAATTATTTAAAAAACAAAACAATTTTTTTACTGTTTACGTTCGATTCATCGCTAGCTTTTTGAGTATTTCTTAATAGTTACAAACTTCGTATTTTCGCGTCCCAAATTCCTTGGCTAAGCTAAAATCTAGCTAGGCGCATGGATCTCAAGTTCATCTTCATGTGTGTTTTGATATCTAAAAAGGCCTGGATTTACAAAATTAGTACTCTGGTGTTATATTTTAGCACGTAAACATCTTAGCATATAAATCAAATTAGACAAACCAAGTGTTGTTTTGAATGTCTTATGCAAAAATAATTAAGTTAAGCCACCAGTGAAGCTGATCTTTGTCAGTCTTTTGTTTACTGCGAGAGATGTGTCAGATGTATGACCTGTTTTTGTTATTATTATTCAACTGAATTTTACTGGTTTTGACAAGGAAATTGTAATGTTGCCACTATGTCAATGCAACATTTCACTCTTTATTACAATGAATAATCCTAACCCTTTGAATGCCATAGTATATTTGTCACAGCCATACTGTATTTATGACAGATCCTTGTAATTAAAATAATGTTTGAATTTTCACAGAGGCCTTGCAAACATGTCTGACTTCATTGAGAGCGAGGCTGAGGAGTCAGAGGAGGAGTTTGAGGAGAAAGACCTGAAGCCCAAAAAGCAGCAGAGATTTATGGAAGATGATGGTAAGATGTTATCTACTAAAAGCCACATACTGCAGAAGGCATGAATATGAAGGCGCTGAACATGAACAGTTTCATCATAGTTCTGTTGTCATTGGCACATTGCGTCATTGGTTGTGTTTTGTGTTGTTGATGTCTCCAGAAGAAGAAGAGGAAGAAGAGAATACTGAAGATCAGGATGAGCATGGAAACCTGAGAGGACTCATTGATGATGGCGATGTGGAAGAGGAAGAACCGCAGAGTGCGAGAGAGGATAGTGACTCTGGTGAAGAGGTCCGTCATCGCCGGAGAAAACGAAGTAGGTTATTCTGAATTTAAAGCCATTTTAGTAAATCCTTCTGTGTTCTGGTGTTTGTCAGTTCACAAGTGCATAATGTTGTTCTTAATGGGACTAAGGGGAAATCAAATATTTAAAACATTATTTTGCTGGAGATAACCAATTAAAGGAAAAGTTCACCTAAAAATATATAAAGTTTACTCGCCCTCAGGCCAGCCAGTTTGTTTCTTCATTGGAAAAGATTTGGAGAAATTTACATTGCAAAACTTGCTCGCCAATAAATGACGTCAAATTGAGTTCAAACAGCTGATAAAAACATCACAGTAATCCACATGACTCCAGTCCACCGATTAACGTCTTATGAAGTGAAAAGCTGTGTGTTTATAAGACAAAAATCCACAATTTTAACTTTAAACTAGGGCTGCACGATAAATCGCATGCGATATTTTACGCGCATCTTATCAGTAAAGCCGGTTCTGTAATCAGCGGTAAATCTCCATCACGTGCGACTTCTGGCCAAAATATGAGTCCATAATCCGTGATAACGCTTTCTCCACTGAAAAAGTCGATATACTGAAATATGTGTTTGGATTGGAACAGTTTTGGACTGTTTTTGTGTGTAAACAGTGCTTAATCTGTGCATATTCCTCTCCTGATACAGACAAGATGGGTTTTTTTCACTGTAATATTATGGATAGAGAACTCATATTTTAGCCTAAAGAAACTGTTTGAAGTTAAGGTGTTTGCCTTGATGAATTTGTTTACTATGAACAATTATGGTTCCATAGATTGAAAAAAAAAAAAAACTGTTGACAATAGGCTAAATGAAATACTGGTTTCTGTATTGCGTTTGTTTTCATTAAACAATGTGTCTTTGTATATGTCAGGTTATGATGACTATCTTGATGATGATGATCTGGACCTCATCGAGGAGAATTTAGGAGTAAAAGTGAAGAGAAGGGTGAGTCACCAAACTTCCAGCCTGTGCTAAATTACAGAATTTATATTAATTTAACTGATACTAGTTAAACAGTTTTGAACTCATGAAAAAATATGATCAGAAAAAGAAATACTCGCGTGTGAAAACCATGGATGATGAGGGTGAAGATGATGAGAAAGACCTGATCGCTGATGAGATCTTCACTGGGGATGGTGACGGAGATGGAGAGGTGGAGGACGGAGAGGCTGTGGACACACTTCACCCAAGAGATGACGAAGAGGGGGAAGATGATGAGGAATCTGGTAGGAAAGATGTTTACCCTATTCATCATGGATTTTAATTAATATTTTAGAATTCTGTGGAATTTTGATGTTTTTTTTCCCCCAATATTTGCTAGATATTGATGATTTCATTGTGGATGATGATGGGCAGCCCATCACTAAAAAGAAGGGAAAGAAATTCTCTGGCTACACTGATGCGTAAGTGATGTAAACAGTAAAGCAGTGGTTTGCTTATGAAAATATAGACTTCTCTGTGTGGTATGAAGGACTAAAGCCCTGACAGAAATGGCCTTGAACCCATGACTTTCTTATCTCTAATGTTGCTCCTTTTCTGACATTTTAGTGCCTTGCAAGAAGCTCAAGAGATATTCGGTGGCGACTTTGACTTTGCTGAGTTCGACACTGAGGCATATGATCATGCGGAAGAGGAAGAGGAGGATCAGGATGATGAGTCATGGGATCGGCCAAAGAAGCAGACCAAGAGAAGAGTTGGCCGCCGTAGCATATTTGAGATCTATGAGCCCAGTGAGCTGGAGAGCAGCCATATGACTGATCAGGACAATGAGATCCGCTCTACAGACATGCCAGAAAGATTCCAGGTATGGAGCAGTGTTGGCCTGTATATACAGTATATCTTTCATTTGCAGTATGCTGTCCAATGTGAAGGATACCAGAAACTTCTGCATGCCCTCTACCAGTGTGTTTCCTTTCATGGATGGAAATGAGGACATTTCATAACCTCTTGTCATTTGCAGTTGAGGGCCATCCCTGTAAAGCCTGCTGAGGATGATGAACTGGAGGAAGAAGCTGAATGGATTTACAGGAATGCCTTCTCCACACCGACCATCTCCATGCAGGTGTGAATGGAGTATTTGTATAACATGACATTTGTTAGCATATTGTCATGGCTCTAAGCTAACTTTGATGCTTATTTATTTTGTATAAAGGAGAGCACAGACTACCTAGATCGTGGGACAGCCACTAATTTCAGCAGAAAGGGCCCCAGTACTATTGCTAAAATCAAAGAAGCTTTGAACTTTATGAGGAACCAACACTTTGAGGTATAGTCATAGGGAAAAAACAGGGAGTAATAAACTCGACCGACTGATCATCTGGTTTTAACTCCTCTCTCTTCCATCTTACAGGTTCCCTTCATTGCATTCTACAGGAAGGAGTATGTGGAACCAGAGCTGAACATTAATGATCTGTGGAAGGTGTGGCAATGGGATGAGAAGGTAAGGGCTAGTCAAAATGTTCTCTGATTGCAGTGCGGTTGCTGCTTTTACTTTAGTAATGTAGAAATGAATTATGACTGTCCTCCTCAGTGGACTCAGCTGAAGACCAGGAAGCAGAACCTGACACGTCTTTTCCAGAGGATGCAGTCTTATCAGTTTGAGCAGATCTCAGCTGACCCTGACAAGCCACTGGCCGACTCAACTCGTCCTCTAGACACTACTGATATGGAGAGGTACGAGTACAAACCTAATGAACGTTCTAATATTTTATGCTTTGTCCACAGTAATCACACCTCCTTTCTGCTTTCACAGACTGAAAGACGTCCAGTCTCTTGATGAGCTGGGAGACGTCTACAACCACTTCCTGCTCTACTATGGCCGAGACATTCCTAAGATGCAGAATGCATCCAAGGCCAACAAAAAGAAACTGAAAAAGATCAAGGAAGTGTCAGAGGAAGATGGTACAGCTGTGTTTCCTTTGCATAATTTGATCAAATAATGGTCAACCATGCATTAGACTAAAACTGTTTTTGTACTGCTAGGGGAAGAGGCAGAAGTGGAGGAGGAAGAGGAAGAAGAGGAGCAAAAGGGTCCAGATCTAAAACAAGCTTCCCGTAGAGATATGTACAGCATCTGTCAGAGTGCAGGCCTTGGTTTGTACATCTCACACAAAAATAAGACTATGTATTTTTTCTTTTATTTATTTATGCTGGCAGAGTCAAATGTGCCAAACATATTCCCTGGCAAAAAATATATAGTATTTTAGAATATAAACTTACAGCAATATTTTGATTGCATTTATACTAACATTTTGTGTCAGAGATATTTTTAACAATGTAACTGATATTGTACATAACTACAGTGTAACTCCATGAACGTGATGAATTCATACATACACTTTTCTTGTAAAATGATGGCATATGGTGACCTTTTTTTTTTTTAGACGGTCTTGCCAAGAAGTTTGGTCTGACCCCAGAGCAGTTTGGAGAAAACTTGCGAGACAGTTATCAGAGGCACGAAACCGAGCAGTTTCCTGCAGAGCCTTTGGAGCTAGCCAAGGACTATGTGTGCAGGTAGAGCATCATTGCAAACTTGAAATGGTTACTTATTAAAATAACTTCTGTATGCATGTCTTTTACCCACGGCTTATTGGAAGATCATAGGAGTTTTCATATTTATTCATAACTCAAATTTTTTCATAGCCAATTTAACACCCCGGAGGCTGTTCTGGAAGGCGCTCGCTACATGGTGGCCATGCAGATAGCCCGTGAACCTCTGGTTAGGCACGTGCTCAGACAGACCTTCCAGGAGAGGGCCAAGATTAACATCAAGCCAACTAAGAAGGGCAAGAAGGTTGGTAATTAGTGGTAATTTAGGAGTTACAGACATACCTTCTAGTATGTAGGAAGTGACCATTATGTATTATACAATTCTTTTATTAACTGTTGTGTTTTTGTTTATCTTCTTCTACATTCACTTAACCATATTCATCAAGGAAAGGGTATTATCAGAAAAGCAACCTTCCCACCCCAGCAGAGCTCTGTTGTGTTAGAGCTTTAGCTAGAATGTTCAGTTGATATTATGTAGGAATAGTTTTTGCTGTGCTACAGTATTACCATAGTAAACTTGTCCTCCTATTCAAACCCAGACTGAACTAATGTGCCAGTGGCTGCATTGTTTGCTCATTCATCAGTAATTCCACATCAGCTAATATCCGTCATGTTTCTTAGGATGTGGATGAAGCGCACTATGCCTATTCCTTCAAGTACCTGAAGAACAAGCCTGTGAAGGAGCTCAATGGAGATCAGTTCTTGAAGATGTGCCTTGCTGAGGAGGAAGGCCTGCTCGCCATAGACATCTGCATTGACCTTGTGGGAGTCAAAGGGTATAGTTGTGTCCTGAAAATTTTAGCTTTAGATCAAAATCTGAATTGAGTTGTTAAGGATTGTATACAAGAGATACAGATCAGTTCTGTTTGCCTTATCTACAGGTACGGAGGAGATCAGACCTACTTTGATGAGATTAAGCAGTTCTACTACAGGGATGAGTTCAGTCACCAGGTGCAGGAATGGAACAAGCAGAGAACTCTTGCTATTGAACGTTCCTTGCAGCAGTTCCTGTATCCTCAGATGGCCAAGGAACTGAAAAACAAGCTTGTTGCTGAAGCCAAGGACAATATTATTAAGGTGCCACATTAATTGCATGTATATTATATTCCATTTGCAAGTGCTTTCAGTACCAAACTGTGGTCTATAATAAGTTGATTTGAGTTTCTTGTGTTTTTGGTAGTCTTGTTGCAAGAAGCTGTATAATTGGTTGAAGGTGGCTCCTTATCGGCCTGATCAGCAGGTAGAGGAGGACGATGACCTCATGGATGAGTCGCAAGGAAAGGGTATCCGTGTACTTGGGGTGGCATTTGCTTCCGGCAGGTACATTTTTGTTCTGAGTGAGCGAATATATTCTACATGATTGTGAATAGGGATGCACAATAAAACCTAATATTATTGAATATTTACTTTTTATATTAGGTAATTTAATGCTGACTTAAAGTGAATCTCAATTTAATTTAATTTCTCCTGTATTATAAAATGTATAACATTATATATTATTGGCCATAACATCATTATAATTTTCAGCTTATCATACATTTGAATGGCATCTGTTAAGTGTTTGCTTGTGTTTTTATAGAGATACACCAGTGTTCTGCTCCCTCCTTAATGGTGAAGGAGAGGTTGTGGACTTCCTCAGGCTTCCTTATTTCCTGAAGAGGAGAAATGCATGGAGAGAAGATGAAAGAGAGAAAAAGGTGAAGAAACAGAAGCCCTGCGGGACATTTACTATTCAGTTGTTTGTTAATTCCAGTTTCCATCAATATTGACACTTTTGAAACATTTGATTGTTGTGTTTCCATAGCTTCAAGATATTGAAAACCTCAAGAAATTCCTCCTTAGTAAGAAGCCACATGTTGTTGCTGTTGCTGGGGAGAATCGGTGTGTTCAATATTTTGTTTTTGTTTTTAAATATTCCATATGCATGTTGGACCCCCACATGTTGATGCTTTTATTTGGATGTGTGTAGTGATGCTCATATGGTGATGGAGGACATCAAGCGCACCATCAGTGAGCTGGAGCAGGACTCCTCTCTGCCTGCTGTGGGAGTGGAGCTGGTGGACAATGAGTTGGCTGTGCTTTATATGAACAGCAAGAAGTCTGAGGTCAGTGCAATGAGATAAAAACATACATTTTACCCATAAACGCTTGTGGAAGGCTATGTGCCTTTTCTAATATTTCTTTCACATATTGCTCCTCTCTAGGCGGATTTCAGGGACTATCCACCTCTGCTTCGGCAGGCTGTGTCTGTGGCTCGCAAAATTCAGGACCCCCTAGTGGAGTTTGCCCAAGTCTGCAGTAGCGATGAAGACATCCTGTGTTTGAAACTGCATCCCCTGCAGGTACAAGCACATTCCTGCATCCCTTTTGCCGTTTATGTTTAAATACCATTGATTTTTCTCCATGTATTTGTGTGAAATTCCGCATTGCAATGTGTTATTTTAAAAAGTATTATTTATTATAGTCATTCATTTATTCCTATTTTGAATCATTTGTTTTTATTTGTTTGTTTTAAAATTAGTTATTTTAGTGCTTCAGTAACTTGCCTTATGTAATTTATGGAACCCAATTTTTCATTTTAGTTAACAGTATCAACACTGAGTCACTGACATCTCTCCACTTAGTATGTGGCTGCTAATTGAGTGACTGCTAATTTTTTTTTAAACAGGCTTGAGATGAAAGTAACTTGTAAATAACTTCTCGTGTATTATGTTTTTAAACGTTCCTCAGGAGCATGTAGTGAAAGAGGAGTTGCTGGGCGCTCTTTACTGTGAGTTCATAAACCGGGTGAATGAGGTTGGTGTGGATGTGAACCGGGCCATTGCTCACCCTTACACCCAGAGCCTGGTCCAGTACATCTGTGGCCTCGGAACTAGAAAAGGCTCACACCTGCTCAAGGTGAGACCTTCTCAAAAAAAATCACTATTCTCACATTTGATATTCATGCTGTTTTTCCACCTAAGTAAAGTCCCTCTGTTAGTCTAGCTAATGGGTTGAGTTTCTATGATGTTTAGCTCATCATCTGCACCTTTCCAATGTCCCTCAGATTCTTAAACAGAACAACACTAGGTTAGAGAACCGAACCCAGTTGGTCACCATGTGCCATATGGGACCCAAAGTCTTCATTAACTGTGCTGGCTTCATCAAGATCGACACCGCCTCTCTTGGAGACAGGTAAGATGCTGTATGCAATGTTTGTGAATGGCCTGCAGTTCACTTTGAATTATGCTGCGTACAGCCAGAAGCTATAACAAAATAATGTGTTCTTTCATTCTGCAGCACTGACTCCTATATCGAGGTCTTGGACGGTTCTCGAGTGCACCCTGAAACGTACGAGTGGGCACGTAAAATGGCAGTGGATGCTCTAGAGTACGACGAGTCGGCAGAAGATGCCAACCCAGCCGGAGCGCTAGAGGAGATCCTTGAGAACCCAGAGAGACTCAAGGACCTGGATCTGGATGCCTTCGCTGAGGAGCTGGAGAGACAGGTCAGCTTTGTCATAATGTTGCATAATTCACTTGCATAAATTTTGTTAGCAGAGGCATTTATCCAAAGCAGCAAATCAGGACACAAGCGGTACTTGATTTAACTAAACCGTTTTTCCTGTGAGCTTGTGTAAAATATATATATTGTAAATATAAATTATAAATATATTGTTTCTTTCTTTCAGGGTTATGGTAATAAGGGAATTACACTGTATGACATCCGAGCGGAGCTCAGCTGTAGATATAAAGATTTGAGAGCCCCGTACAGGCCTCCCAACATGGAGGAGGTCTTTAACCTGCTCACCAAGGAGACTCCTGAGACCTTCTATATTGGTAAATAATACCTGATCGTTTTTAGATTTTTTTAAAAGATCACAGAGTAATCTATAGTTCTAAACCTGCAGATACATATTTTCAAGTATTCTGTGATATTTGTGGTGCTCCCTCATTTGTTTCAGTCTTGATACTGATTGGTAATATTTTCCTATATCTCTGTGCACATATAGGCAAACTGATCACATGTGTGGTGACTGGCATTGCTCACAGACGGCCACAAGGTGAGAGTTATGACCAGGCCATCCGTAATGATGAGACGGGTCTCTGGCAGTGTCCATTTTGCCAGCAGGACAACTTCCCTGAGCTCAGTGAGGTGGGAATTGGTTCTGTTACCTTTTTCTCTTAAGCACACAAGCAAAATGACTTGTATCATTGTTGTTTCTTAGGTGTGGAATCACTTTGACAGCGGCTCCTGCCCTGGTCAAGCCATCGGAGTGAGAACTAGGTTAGATAACGCTGTCACAGGCTTCATACCGACAAAGTTTCTTAGTGACAAGGTGGTGAAGCATCCTGAGGAGAGAGTCAAGGTGAGCAAATCTCATATTTCCTTTCTATACTCTATCTGGCGTTCATTTCTAAACAATATACACCCCAAATATGTAGCCTTACAAAAGATATGGAAGTTTGAAAATGTTCTGTTTACAGACTGACTTTTGTCTGGTTCTCTGCTGTTAGGTTGGCATGACCGTGCACTGCCGCATCATGAAGATTGACATCGAGAAGTTCAACGTGGATCTCACTTGTAGAACATCTGACCTGAGTGACAAGAACAATGAATGGAAGCTTCCCAAAGATACCTACTATGATTTTGATGCTGAGACAGATGATGTGAAACAGGAAGAGGAGCAAAAGAAGAAACAGCAAAGAACCAGTCAGTATTGACCAAATCTTTTTTGAGAACATTAATTTTTATCACCTTTTTCAAGTGACATGACTTTTGTTTTCTGTCTTCAGCTTACATTAAGCGAGTAATCGCTCACCCGTCCTTCCACAACATCAACTTCAAACAAGCGGAGAAGATGATGGAATCCATGGACCAAGGTGATGTGGTGATTCGGCCCAGCAGTAAAGGGGAGAACCACCTGACGGTCACATGGAAGGTGGCTGATGGGATCTATCAGCATGTAGACGTCCGTGAGGAGGGTAAAGAGAATGCGTTTAGCCTTGGACATACTCTTTGGATCAACAATGAGGTGAGCTGTTGTTGTGTCACACAAACTATTGTTCAAAAGTTTTGGGCCTTTTTTTTTTTTTTTAAGTGTTTTTGGCTGCATTTATAAAAAATGGCAGTATTGTGAAATATTGTTACAGATATTTAAAATGACTTGTGTTAATATTTATTTTTAAATGTAACTGATGCAAAGCTGAATTTTCAGCATCATTACGCAAGTCTTCAGTGTCACATGATCCTTCAAAAATCATTCTAATATGCTGATTTGGTGCATTTTGTTATGAAAATTGTTATGCTGCATAATATTCGTATGGAAACCATGCATTTTTGAGATTCTTTGATTAATAGACAATTTAAAAGAATAGCATTTTTTAACTAGAAATCTAATAATAGTCGTGGTTGTCTACAGGAGTTTGAGGATCTGGATGAAATCACAGCCAGGTATGTCCAGCCCATGGCTGCATTTGCACGAGATCTGCTCAGCCACAAATACTTCCAGGAGTGCAATGGAGGTGATAGGAAGGTGTGTTATCATTCTGAGGACGCTACATGGTGTATTTTACCTCATCTAGTGTACTATTTATTGTAGGCTTTTTATTATATAAATCAACACTAAAGATTTATGCAATTTCTCTGTCTACATTATGAAAGCCGCTAAAACAAACGAAAAATATTATAACAGTGAAATTATTAGTAGTTCCATAATTGCAATAGTCTATTTCTCTATTAAAACAACAGCGATTGAGTAAGTGTATTTATTCAGCGATCACAATCGCAAACAATACAGTCGAGATCTCATGACAGAACACTGACCGGCTGAATGACGCTTTCATTTAGATCTCTAAACTCCAGCTTGTTTGTTTTTCAGATCATCTGCGGCGGCGCTTCCGCAATGAGGATTTTTGGTAAAGTTTTTATCTTTTTGAATACATTTTAGTCTCGTCTTATTTCGTCAACGAAATTGCATGTTGATATAGTCTTAGTTATTGTTTATTGACCTTATTGTCGTCTCGTCTTAGTCATGGGGAAAAAAGCTCGTCAACGAAAATTTTTCGTCATAGTCTTCGTTAACTAAATTAACACTACTCATTACCCTACCAAAGCAGGTCACAACTCCCATATATATCATGCATTTGTAAATGTTTGCCTTTTGTGTTTTGTTTTATAGGATAGAGTATGTAACCATCACTCCAGATGGCTTTAGGTATCGCTCTCAGATGTTCCCTTCAGTCAATGGTCTTTTCCGCTGGTTCAAGGACCACTACCAGGATCCTGTGGCAGGTTAGTAGTCTCTATCTGCACTCCAGCTCTGGCCTAGCATTCTAATTTTTCCTTGTAATGTAATGTTTTTGTTGTCTCTTTAAAGGCGTCACACCAACCAGCAGCAGAACGAGAACACCAGCATCAGTGAACGCCACACCTGCCAACATCAACATTGCCGGTATGTCAGAAATGCTGATGTCTTCCCTGACAAAAACAGGAATTTTTTTTTTTATGAAGTAATGTATTTTTAAAACCCAAATCTGTCCTCTCACTCTCAGACTTGACTCGAGCCGTCAACGCTCTCCCGCGAAACATGACATCCCAGATGTTCAGTGCCATAGCAGCGGTTACAGGCCAGGGCCAGAATCCCAACACGACGCCGGCCCAGTGGGCCTCCAGTCAGTATGGTTACAGTGGCGGCAGCAGTGCAGGAGGTGGCGGCAGCAGCAGCGCTTATCATGTACGAAACCTGCACCTATGCACTCAGTCACCTATTTAACTCATTGAATCAAAACCAGGCCCTCTAATATTTCACATTCCTTCCTTTCCTGTTTTTTCAAGGTGTTTGCAACGCCCCAGCAGCCGATGGCCACGCCCATGATGACGCCCAGCTACTCTTACACCACACCTAGCCAGCAGCAGGCCATGACCACACCCCAGTATCCCAGCAGCACCCCACAATCCTCACACGGACACCATCAGCATTCGTCCTCCACACCATCGTCCTCATCATCGAGAGTGCGGACACCACAGCCCAAGTGAGTGCTGCCTCTGCTTTATTGCAAATGCAAAACCATGTCACATGATGAATTTTCTGTGTGAAAATTCAATGCTATAAACATTTTAATTTGAATGAGTGGTTTTTGATGTATCTGTTCCTTCACAAATGTGACCCTGCACTGCAAAACCAGTCATAAGTAGCACGGGTATATTTGTAGCAGTAGCCAACAATACATTGTACGGGTCAAAATGATTGATTTTTCTTTTATGCCAAAAATGACGATTTTATTTTGAATTACGATATTAGTTCAAGCTGAAAGAAAGTGCACATTTACTCTCTGACAGCAGATGGTGCTGAACAGCAGAAATGCAGCCGTTACTCTGGAAACCTCATAAACAAAGCAGCTGCTGCTTATTAAAACATATTTAAATGGTTTAAATAGCCATTCAGATTTTTGTATTCGCAGCGTTCATCACAGCGCCAAATACTTAGACTTAATAGGCTATTTATGTTCAAACTTTTTTTTTTTACATTTTAATCTGGATTACACCACCCTTTTAAAAATCCTGCAGATACCCTGTAAATTCTTTCTTTATTTTTTATTGTATAATTTATATACTTTATGTTGGCTATTTATATTATGCAATGATATATGCTATCCAGATCGGTGGTTTTTAATAGCACAATAACATCTGATTTAAAGTGAAGAACTCAAGTGTGTGTGTGTGTGTAAACATGTAATTTACCACAGTTTAAAGTGCTGGGAAAGCTTGAAAAAGCACCTTGAAAGTGCTTGAATTTGGAAAAGGTGTAAGAACCCTGCATAAACTGTCAATGAAAAATTCTTCTAAACATTCATTAATCTTGCGTAATTTCAATATTTAATAACACGTTGTTAAATTAAAAGTTGCAACTGTCATTTAATGAACTAACGGTTGTATTTTTAAACCGATTAATAACTTCTGTAGCAAATGTAGCTATTGCTCATTATTAATGTTAATGCATTAACTAAGGTTAACTAATGAGATCTTATTGTAAAGTGTTACTTATTGGTCTTTATAAATCGTTTGCAAAATATAAATTTTTTACTTTATACTTTTTTGTGTATTACTTTATTGTATGTAAATGTTCAGTTCTTTTTTGTTATAAGAAAATGGTTATTAAACCTGTAATACTTTGACAACACTTTTTTGCAACTAAATTTCAATAGCGTATACCGTGATAAAAGCATTAGCAGTTAATCGCAACATGAACATTTGATACTGTCATATGCCTAGTCACAAATGTTCATGTTTTTTTTTTTTTCTTTAGTCTTGTTTTTTTGTGTGGTTTCTATTATTATGACTTGTGTTACATAATCCATTACAGACCAAAGTACTAAAACTCCATCTGTGTTCCCTGCAGGACAAGTTCCCACACCGCCGTGGATTGGGGTAAGATGGCTGAACAGTGGCTGCAGGAGAAAGAAGCCGAGCGGCGGAAGCAAAAGACGCCCCGCATGACGCCCCGACCTTCACCCAGCCCCATGATCGAGAGCACGCCCATGTCCATCGGCGGAGACGCCACTCCCCTCTTGGACGAGATGGACCGATAGGAGTAGGGAAGGGGGTGTTCAGACATCTCGTATAAAACCCAATCCATCCACATCCCATCTCTCACCCTCCGTCTTTTGCTCTTTCGCAGCTAGAAGCATTTCTTTGAGTCGTTCAGAGCTTCTGATACAAAGACAAACATTTGAAATGTGGTGACGACAAGCAGATTTAGGAAATGGACCTACAATAAACGTTTGTCATGAGGGTTATCTTTTTTTTTTTTCTTTTTTTTTTTTTGTATGTGCTAATGCACCCCCTTTTTCATTTCAGTTTTTAAACTAAATTTAAAAGGAAAGGCTTAAAGTGTAAGACGTTGCATGATTTGTGCCCATGGGAGCTGGTATTCAATCAGCGTAAAATCATTAGTTCAGACCCACTCAGAGAGCTTTTCTTTTTGTATCTGGCTTAAACATTTAAATAAAACCCTGTTTCAGTATGAACCAGAGCACTGTAATATTTCGAAATCTGTGTTCTGTTGAGCTGTTACGCAAAGAATTAAGCACTGGGAAGCTTGGTTAATCTATTTAGCAACTCATTTATCAGCTAAAAATGAAGTATGTGACTAAAAGCGATCCTGTAAATGTCATGTTTTTTGTGATCATTACAGTGATCAGAATATGCATTTTAAATTCAAAACCTTGAAGAATGATGTTTTTAAGGTCATCTTTGAGTTCTCAGAGTTCAGAATCAGATATCACTTTTCATAATGTGCTTCTACAAGTAAACTGAACTATTGTGCTAAAAAATACTGAGACCTCTGATCAGTTTTTTTGCTTTTTCAGTTTGGGGGCTGTTTGTGTTTGTGAATGTATCTTTGCTGGGCCAGGCTTCAAGGTGTTTGTACACATGCTGTTTTTAACAGTGTCTTTCCTTCATGTACAATCCCGTGTATCGCTATAGACCGAAATTGTTACATTTAAGCAAAGTGAACTTTATGAACAGGCTCCTTATACTGTGACAGTATTTTCACAGCAAACATAGTTATGATCCCCCACAACCAGTATAGTGAATCTTTCAAGTTCTGTGGAAGTGTTTCTGACCTGATCATGTGTTCTTTTAGTATTGAGGCTAAACTATGCCTTTAGGTCAGGATGGGAAGTGAGCTCAGTGTCTAAAGCATTCTGTTCCGTGTATTTCACTGCTGACATCCATTTCTTTCCTTTGATAAAGTTGTCCAAATGAAACCTTTCGTGTTTCGTGTTTTTATTTGTTTTAAACATCTGCTTCTTAACAGTCTATACTGATTTCAGTTAGTAAAGAATGGTGTTTGTCTTCAAGCTTCAGACCTTAGGTAATTAATTTCAGACTGATTGTAAGATGTGACTAAATAATATTAATGCCTTTGCTTAAGAGACACAAGCAGCTTCCACAAAGCTACTAGTGGACAAAAATACTAACAATTAAATTTGACACCTTTTTGTGATTTTAGCCTTTATTCTCTCTTGAAGACTTGAACGGACATTTCACACACACAATATAATTCTGTTATAGTGGGATATTTGTTGAGCTGCTCATTTTAGCTTCGCAATTTTACATAAGTGGTACTTCTCCATTTACGTCTTAACAATCCTTCCATTTAGCTCGCAGTGGGAATCTCGTGTCGGCGCAGAGCCTGTGGTCATGAGTGCTGGCATATGTATCATATTAGCCAGAGAAACTCATGATGCAATGGAAAAACAAGGACTGTATTTACAAAAGATCCACTCAGAACCGCCAGGAGGGCATTGAATGTGAACTTAAGTGTTCTGCACATAAACTGCTGTTTGCTAAGACAAAAATCAAATGTGAAAGCAGAACTCATTACCGTCAAATTACAGGGATTTGCATCGCTTTATGTAACAGACTTGAAATGCCAGTAAATGACACCAAGTATTTATAGACAGATTTACAGATTTAAGCTTCTTTGTTACTGCTTGGGACAAAAATGCACATATTTTTGGACATGTCATTAACTCGATCCTGGTTATTTGATAGTCCATGAGAAACTCAATTGCAGTGTATAATAAACATGTAATACAATGATGATCAAGAAAAATGCTTTCCAATTCATATCTAGGAAACATGAAATATATCATGGATTTATTTATACACTTCTAATTACAATCCAAACTTTCAGATGAATTCTTGTTGAGATTCTCATCTCACTGGCCAAGTCCTCTCTATTATTTTTTCATCCACTCAAAAATGTGTGTCAGGGCATTATGGGACATCATTCCAGAAACACTTCTATTGCCATTTGAAAGTTACACTTTTAGTCAAAGACAGCAGCTGGATTGCCTCTTCTTAAATTTTTCATCACAGTTGTTAGAGATTTCTGTGTAGAAAAGATGCATATATAATTTTCTGTATGACCATGGTGAAATATTCCCAGGGTAAAACATGAAAATAAAATGTCAGGAATTAGCCATATTTTGACGTAATGAAAGAACTTACTGACAATATCTCTACCTTGTCTAGATTTGTTCCTCTCCAGCTCAGATAATACAGTGGCCTCAAATGTAAGTGATGCAACCCGTAGAAAGAAATCTCTCACACTTTCCCCTATCGAGGACAACAGAAATACAGTGGGGAAAATAATTAGTTGATCCCCTACTGATTTTGTAAGTTTGCCCACTTACAAAGAAATGAAGGGTCTATAATTTTTATGGTAGGTTTATTTTAACGGATAGAGAGAATATCAAGCAAAAAATCCAGAAAAAAAACACTGTACAAAGGTTATAAATTGATTTGCATTTCAGTGAGTCAAATAAGTATTTGATCCCCAAGCAAAACTTGGTGGAGAAACTCTTGTTGGCAAGCACAGAGGTAAGACGTGTCTTGTAGTTGGTCACATAAGATGTCATATCATACGTTACTTATACACTACAGTAAAACGTTTGGGATCATTATGTTTTTTATATGCTTCTGAAAGAAGTCTCTCATGCTCACCAAGGCTACATTTATTTCATCAAACATACAATAAAATGTTAATCTTGTGAAATATTGTTACAACTTAAAATAACAGTTTTCTATTTGAATATATTATAAATTGCATCCTGTGATGCCAAAACTGAATTTTCATTAGCCGTTACTCTGCTGATCAGTCTTCAGTGTCACATGATTCTTTGTAAATCATTCTAACATGCTGATTTGGTGCTCAATTATGATTGGTGCTCTAATAATAATGGTTCTTAATATAATATATTATGTTGAAAACAGTTTTTGCTTCCTAATATGTTGGTAAAAACTGTAATTTATTGTCTGGATTCTTTGATCAATTTATTTTAAATAGAATAATTTTGTAACATAAAGGTCTTTACTGTCACTTTTGATCAATTTAATGCATGCTTGCTGAATAAACGTAGTATCATGATATTTCACAATAATACTGTTTTTACTGAATTTTTTATGTGACTATTTATGACCAAACGTATTTATGAAAACATCTAGATATTATTTCGGACATCAGCTCAGACACACAAAATAGTTTGATGGCAATCAAAACAGCTGCTGTTAAAAGTCTTTTAGACAGACTTGTTTACCTGACAGCGCAGACACGGCCCAATACTCTGCTCTGATCTCCTCAGAGAGTCGAACGGCCTCTTGCTCCATTTGGGCCAACTGATCTGGGTGCTATGGGAGAGAAAGATTCATCTAGACTAGTTATCTCAAGGAAACACCATCTGGGGATTGTCAGGATTTTTAAAGGCTTTGAAGAGATCAACTGAAAATAAAACTCACACTAAGATCCTTCTTGGTTCCCACGAGGAAGAGGAGAACACTAGAAGGGTCATTGTCTCTCATGGCATCCTCAAGCCACTCTCTGAATAAACAGAGACAGACTTGATTCATGACTATTCAAACAGTGTTTGAAACCAAATAAGTGGTCGTACTGTACCTTGCATGATCCAAAGAGTTATAATTGCTCAGGTCAAACACAACAATGATGGCTGGAAAACAAAAGATACATTGTTTTTACACAATACACAGCAAGAGTATGCTTAACGTAGTCTGTTTTATTACCTTGAGCTCCCCTGTAGTATGTGGATGCAACGCATCTGAATCTTTCCTGACCTGCTGTGTCCCACCTGCAGAGAGAGAGAGAGAGAGAGAGATCTGTGATCGAAGGATGCAGCCATATGAATGACTGTTAAAGTAATACACAAAACTCACAACTGCAAACTGAAGGGCACCCCGAGGACCTCAAATCTCTCCATCTCAAAATCCACTCCAATAGTCGCCTTGTACGTCTTGCCAAATGTGTCTTTGCAGAATCTCGAGGACAGAAATATTAACAAATGTAATCATTCAAGCTTTTTTTTTGTTTTTTTTTACACGTATGGTTGGGATGTTATGTTAAAATTGATGTTTTTCTTTCAGTAAAAGCACAATGAGATCTGAAGTGAGAATAAATAAATGAACATTACAGACTCTTACCTGTTTATTAAACAGGTCTTTCCAACTCCTACATCACCAACAACAATGACCTTGGCTACATTCAATCTGGAGATGTAGATTTGCGATTTATGAAGTTTTGCCTGCACTGTGGGGACCAGCCAAAAGTCCCCATAAACATACTAAACACTGAACATTTCAAAACAATAGATTTTAATGGAAAGTCCCCACTATACTAGCAAAACAAAAGCTTGTATATGTGTGTGAAAGAGAGAAAAAGAGTAATTTACCCTGTTTTCTGTCCTTGACATGCCTCTTTAACAGTAATATTGAAGCCATCTTTGGTGTGCACTGCAGCGTCCCTTGTAAAGTACTGAATAATAGCCCAATAGAAATTTGTCAGGTTAGACTTTAAAAAATTACAAGACAAAACAAAAAGGTAGCTTTTTACATAATAATCTGGTCCAGTCCAGTCCGGATTATAACGTTCAGTGGGTGACTAAATACAATAATCCTCTAAAATGAATGAGTTTTGAGCAACAAAACAGCAAGGGAGTGGACAAAACTAATAACTAATTAAAAATATTTTAAAAAATGTGTTACCAAAGGGAGTTCACAGATGATCCTGTCTCCTTTCACAGGGGGCAGAGAGCTCATCATGTGAGAGCTTTAACAAGACCACACCAATACAACCGCAAATACTCAACCATTCTGTCCGCTGACTATAGGATTAATAAAAATGTAAAATGTAAGAGAAAAAATTTAATTGTACAGAAATGTAATAATAACAATAATAAAAATACATACAATTAAAAACAGTAAGTAACATTAACATTAATGGCAAATTAACATGCTGCTGTATAATAAAATTTGATGTCAAAACGATATTTAAAAAGCAATACAAATGAATATATATATATATATA